ATATATGGTTTGAATCCACAGGGTTGCCAGGCTGGGGCTTTGCTGTAACTTTGCCAAGGGCCAGTCAGCCAGGACAGGTATTCTCCTCCACTGTACCACAGGCAGCACCCAGAGGGGCTGGTCAGCACCCCAAAGGTGAGCCTGCTGGCTCTAAGTTGCAAGGCCTGTCCACCTCAATGCCCTCATTTACAGATTGGGGAGGTGGAGTCAAAAAGGGAAATGGCAGTCCCCAGGTCACCTGGGTGATCTGAAGGCTGGACGGTCAAATCTGCTGGTAGGCCAGGGAGATGGCTCAGTAGAATAACTGCTTGCCTGGCAAATGCAAGGACCCAAGTTCAATCCCCCGTTCCACCAAAAAGAAAAAAAAAATCTATCTCCCCACTACCCAGACCCCCTTTCAACAAATCCTCAATCCTTTGCCTCTGTGGTCCCTCCCTACCTGTCCCTGCCCCTCACCCCCACCCTGGCCTGCAACCCACTCCCAGACTCCCAAACTGGCACTCAGGAACTCAGAGAGCTATTTCCAGGTTGGCAGGGGATTTTCTTCAGAGTCAAGGGTTTGTGCCGATTCAACCCAACATGCCCTACAGCCCAGTAGAGACTGACTTCTGTTTCTTAGGATGTGGCCTGGAGCTTTCGCCAATTTACTCCCATGTTGGGGTTTGTGGTAGGGAGGCAGAGCACCCAAAGACTGGAAATTCTGCTGAATCAGAGCTCTTGGTGTTTGCCCGGGAGTCTGCACACAAGAGGTCATTTGCAAGGGCCTGGGGTCTCTTCCGTCAGCACAGGTGGGAAGTGGGTGAGGAGCAGAGAGAAGGGGCAGAAACCAGAGGCTGCCAGCTCCTAGGGGGCCCCAGGCCCGGAGCAATGGCCGCAAGGGCAGGGCTGCTCAGGCAGCCTCCTCCCGGCAGGAAAACAAGAGGCACTAAAAGCAAAACAAAACCAAAAACCCTCCTTTTGTTTTCTGGCCCCAAGGAATGTCTTAAAGACAAATCCAGGGACAAGGGGCTTCCCCACCCTTTCCTCTCTCCCCTTCCTCCTCCCGCTCTTCTATTCAAAGTCAGAATCTTGTTGATCTTTCCAGTAGCAACATTGTCCCGGGGCATTTTGGTAGCATCCAACAAAAACATTTGGAGTCTGAAAGAACCTCATCTCACCTCGCTCTCTCTTAGGGACGCCCCACTTCTACCGCCTTTTCGGGGGACTCCGAGGACTTGAGGAGGACACGCAGAGGGGGAGGGGCACCCACACTGCCCCTCTGGGAGTGAAAACATCCCCCGGCCAAACTAAGACCGTCTGTCTCCCTCGAGATCTCTGCTTTTCTCCTTTGTGTGTTTGGGAAGGGGGGTGCAGGGAGAGGGTGGGAATTAGAGAGAAAGGAGAGGCAACTGTTACCAGCGCGGCCCTTCCACACCCAACAGCCCCACACTGGCCAAAACCCGACAATTCTCAGAAACCAGCAGCCACCTCCCCTTCCCAAAGCCCAGGTACCCACAGACTCAAAACGAAGGTTGCGGGGGTAGGGCAGGATAGGTTCCCACCAGTACCCGTGCAGTGAGGAGACCAGCGTGCCCGGGGACCCCAGACCCTAGGAGGTGAAGTGCTGAGAAATCGACACTTCTGCGGGCAGCCGCTGGATCCACCCTCTGCACCAGTTTGTGCCCCGAGAAGATAGGTAAGTGTGTACCCCTGATGTACCCCCATATCCCAGGTCCCCAACCCACCACGTGCAGTCATGTGCCAGATCCTGGGACCTTAAAGCATATTCCACTTTGGGTTTGGCAACTTCAGGAAACCCCGAAAAGTTAAGGTTCCAACCCACGCTCTCCACACTCATTTTCCGCTCGCGGCTACAGTCTTTTGCTCCCACCCTGACAGGGTGAACTTTTACTACTCCTCTCACTCTGTCGGCTGCCCACCAAGAAAGCCCACCTCCTGACAGCTGGTCTTTCCAACGCTGGCCGAGGTACGCGGGCTGCTCTGGGTCCCTCTTCTAGGTTCTTTAGGGGTGACGCGGGTATGCCCCACCCGTGGGGCCCCGCGTTTATCTGGGTGTGGTTAGGGTCAGTGGTTTGCGATCCTGAATTTCGGACAGTTTCCAGCGAGAACCCTGCGCTTGCCTCGGTGGCCAAGTGGCCGGGAAGTGCGCCCCCTGGCGGTATCAGGTCCCCTCCATCCAGCCAGACCGCGAGCTGGCGCGAACACACCGAGCCCAGCCTCCTTCCGCACCACCCCCCCCGCGGGCTTCCGACCCTCTCCACCCCTACATCAGTCTGGCCCAAGACTCAGATCCACCTGGCACCTCCAGAACCCCCGCATCTCCGAGTTGGACACACACGGCAGGGAAGAACCGAGGTGCGGGAGAAAGCGCGGAGCCCCCACCCCGCCCCGCCCTCTGTGAAGGACCCCGCAGGCAAGGCGAAATCAGGGTTTTAGCCGGGTGCCACCACCTCCCCCGCAGGTTTACCTGTGGGCTTCCGGCTCTGCTCCCGATCAGGCCCTACGGAATGGCCTGGGGTGCACCGCCTCTCCAGTACAGCCCTAGCCGAACCCCGAACCTCGAACCCCCACCTGCCACGCCGCCGGCCACTTTCCCGAGCCCCAGTCTCCACCGCGACCGCAAGGCGCCGGGGCGGTGCTGCACCTGTCCCGGGCCAAGCTCGCCGGCCAGCGCGGATTCGGGGCAAGGGGGCACGTCTTCCCGGCACCCCCACCCTCCTCACGCTAGTTTGAGCAGAACTTGGTCCCTGCGGTTCCCGGGATGGTGCATAGTCCCCGTGCCACCTGTACATCCTCCCTTCCCGGCGCAAAGTCGCGGAGCAGGGCGCGGTAGCGGCCCGGGGAGCACGGTGGGGCCCGAGGGGCGGGGACCCTACCTTCCTCAGCGTCCGGACCCCGCCAACTCCGCCGGCCGCCGCGGGGAAACTTTGCCTGCACCGATGCGCGCAACTCCTGCCCGGCGGCGACGGCGTGACCTGGACCGCGGAGGGGGCGGGGCGAGCGCTTGGGCTGGGACCGGGGCCGGGGCTGGGGCTCAGCTCGAGCGGCCTCGCTGGGCTCCGCGGCGATCGCTCGGCGCTGCGTCCGCCGCGCAGCCGGGAGCTGAGACGCCGGCGGCCGCCGCAGCCCGGCCACACCCCCGGCCTCCTGGCCCCGCCCCGCGCCCGCCCCCCGCGCGGCCCCCGATCTCCTCCCCTCGGGCTCCAGTTGCCGCCGCGTAGCTCACTCTGGTGGCCGCGCGGAAGGCCCGCGCGTCTTCCCTCAGCTGGCTGCTCCCAGGCCTGGCTCCGGGGTCCTTGGGGCGGCCCTCCGCCCACCTCCGCAGCCTGCACCTGAGCCCTCCCCGCGCCCCCCCCTCAATTCGAAAGATGTACTGTGGCGGGGTGGGGGAGGTGCTGGAGCCGAGGATTTATTCTGGGAGCCTTCCCGCGACACCCCAGCCCCAGGCCGACTCAGGAAGGAGTTGGGGACGAGATCCTCTGACGACCTCCACTCTCAGATCCCGCTGCCCGCCAGCAGTGCCTGTTGTGGTCCTGCGGAGGGTCGCGTTTTGACGGCCGGGGACTGACAACCACGGCGCTCCAACGAGGAGGAACCAGAGCCCTCTCGGCGCAGAGGACGTGATCGTGGTCCCCGAGGCAGTCGGTCCCCGCCTGGGTGGGAGCGCTGCGGGGGTGTGGGAGGGCTTTAGCCTTTCATCTTCGGACTCCTGGCGCGGTGGCACCTCCTCGTCTGGCCCTGCTGCACAATTCAGAAGCTGTTAACCTCTGAGCTTTCTCTATTAACCAGCTTCGGGCCTGTGGATCAAAGTAGAGAGACAGCCCAGGCACGCTTGGTAGCTGCCCAGGTGGAGATGAGACCAGAGGCGCCCACGTGGCCCGTTGTCTTCCCTTGTGGACAACGGGCCACCAGGCCACAGAGCAGAATTTTGAAGGGCAGAGAGCTGCTACCTTTACTTGCCCACCTTGCTGGAAACAGTTATGTCCCTGTAGGGACTTCGGAGTTGTCTGTCTCTGCAGCCAGCTCTCTGAGTGACTGGGGAAAGTGAGGACCACTGCTAGTGAAAGAAAGTTCTCCTAGCCGAATTGTTATAGCAGAATTGCTTTAACAATATTGTAGCGGAATTGCTATTAAAATGTGGATAAGGACAAGCCCTGCAGCAGTCAGAAGAGAGGTGAGGAGAGACTGGGAGGCTCACAGGCCCTGTGCTAACCCAGGATGGTGGCTGTGTGGTGTCCTGTGGTCAAGCTGCCCAGGAATGTGCAGAGGGAGAGAGGGAACCCAGAGCTGGTGGGCACCGTAGGCTGGGGAGGTACAGGCCAGAGGCTGAGGCAGGAGGATGGCCACCAGGACAGTCTGAACCACACAGTGAGACCCTGTCTCCAAAAAACAAAAGATTTTTCAAATGTAGGCAGCAAGAAAACTCACACACCCAGCTGGGAGGGAAATTGCAGCTCCAAGGCTGAGTTTGCCAGACCTCAGCCATTCTGCCTCCACAGAGAACGTGGCCCGGAGCGAATGGCTGTCTACTTAATAACTTGCCTTCAATCACCTCTTATTTTATGTTTCATTTTACTTAAATGAGATTTAAAAAAAAAAGATATCTTATATCAATACCATAAATGGAAACAAGGCATCCTGCTACTATAAATAGCAAGTAAGCTTTAAATAAACACAAGCAGCCAGGAGTGTTGGACCATGCCTGTAATCCGAGCACTCTGGGAGGCTGAGACAGGAAGATAAAAAGTTAGGGGCCATCCTGGACAGTATAGCACCTTAGTGAAACCTGCCTCACCATCCAGTAGAAAAGTATGAAGATGAAATATAGGAAGTAAAGCCATGTTGTTATGTTAAGCTGTGGGGGACTCAGGTCAATAATTTCTGACATTGCCAGTTAAACAGAAGACCCAATGATATGGGCTTCTGTACTCTTTTAGAATATTTTGCTGAGTTTACACACCTATAATATTCAACAACGGAACTTAAAAAAATTGGGGTATAACTATGAATGTCCATTTTGTATCTGTGTATTCAAAGTGGTTGGGATAGATATATAGTTGCATTCTCTTAATGAATAGAATGATTTTTTCTAATGGTGTTTGTAAGTAGGATCACAAGTCTGCATCTTGTACAGCAATTAACCACTAAGAAGAATATATGCAGTGTATTATTTGTTGAAACTACTTTTGATTTGATTTGAAACTGTCTCATTGCTATATGTTTATCAATAAAACTTTGAAAAGAAAAATAAATAAATAAAATAAATTATCTTTTCAAAAAAAAAAAAAAGAAACCCTGCCTCAAAATGAAAAAGGGCTGTTGCTGTAACCTACCATGAAGGTCCTGGGTTCAGTCTCCACTACTGCAAAAAATTTTAAAATGGACACAATGAAAATAAAAGCTTATTGTAGCAATGTATGTTTAACTGCTTTTTTAAAAAAAGAAAAAATTCTAACAAGATACTGCTTGCTACCTGAGGAAGGAGCACTCTCTCTTGAAAAGGGAGATAAACAAGGCTCAGAAAGGGTTTAACGGTGTGTTAGTAATCAGTTCGCAATGTTTTGTAGTCAGGAACATGAATCTATACAAATTCAGCAAAATTACTTCCTTTCAAAAGTTAGGAATCCAGAGTTTAGTCCTATGGATGGTAAGGAGGGAGATTAGGGTGGAGGCAAACAGGACAACTAAATGGGTGGCTTGTGTAAAAATTCATAAAAATCCCGACGAAGTGCAGAACACAGGACCCAAAATGATTCCACGGCTCTTAAGCACACTGTATGGGAACCAACCAGAAAGCCATGTTCTCAGTCTCCTGACTGAATCTGATGTAGGACCAATCAGAAGATGCTATTTTTAATCTTTTATTTGCATGAGGACACAGCCAATCAAAAGATGAAGATTCTGATCCTTCATTTACATATTGCTGGAAACCAACTAAGGTTTTCCATTGGCCAGTTTGTACCTGACACAGTGAATTTTGTTTTGCAGTTGGTTGAGACAGAGTCTTGCTATGTCGCCCAGGCTAATTTTAAGTTCTCAAAGATCCTCCTGCATCAGCCTCCTGAGTGCTGGGATTACAAGCATGAGCCACCTTGCCTGGGCATGTGAGTTCTTGATAGGAAAACTGCCCTATTCCCTTATTTTAATAAGGTGGAAGCCAATCTAGGAATTTTGGGTACAAAAGTTCAGGCCTTCATCCTCAGGGCCTGTTCATCAGCCATAGTCACCCCTTTTCTGGGTGTCTTGTCTAACTCTTATCAGGGCGCCAAGAATCTGGAGAGGGGGCCAGCAAGATAGCTCAGTGGACTAAAGTGCCAGTTTAGGAAAGCACAGGGACCTCGATTTGATACCCAGCACCAACCCCAACCTCCCACCCCCCAACCCCCACCCCTGGTTGGGTGGAGCTGGCCACAGAGTCTGGAAGTAGTGGCGTTCACCTGTAATCCCAGCACTGGTGAGACCCTGTAACAACCAAATTCATTAATAATAATAATTAAAAAAAAAAAAAAACATGGAGAGAAGCCTCACGGGATTCTCCATCTGGTAACAATATGGCCCGGATCTCTGCTTCAGAGAATGAACCCCACATAGAAAGTAATCCTGGGGAAGCCTCAGTGTTTCCATCTGTAAAGTGGGGGGCTAGCCAAATACCCTAGAGAACCCTTTATTCTTCAATGAAAGCAAAGAAAAGGGGCTGGGGAGAGATGGCTTAGTAGAATATGTGCTTCCCTGGCAAGTGCAAGGGCCTGAGTTCAATCCCTGGTTTTGCCAAAAAAGAAAAAGAAAAGAAAGGATCCAAGGTTATACTCATCAGGAAGCTGAGGAGGCAATCGGAGAGGAGGTGCAGGAGAGAAAGACCTGGAAGTCCCCAAGGTGTTGGGAGCCATTGGCCCCATCCTAGGCAGGAATCTCAGGCTGTCAAACACCCAGAGTGGCCTCGCCCAGAAGTTGCCAAACTCTGTTTGCCCATTCTGGAAAGAAGATTGTGTAGGCTCCATTGAAAGCTAGCCACTGCATTATACGGTGCATTATATGGGTGGGGAAACTGAGGCAGGACCACAGTTT